GATCATATCCGCACAGGAAGACATTATGTAGTTGGGAGCTTTGATTTCTGGGGCGGGGGACGCGAGCAAAGGACTCTCCAGGCAGGCGTCTTGGCGCAGCCCGGGCTGATTTCGACAAGTTTTCTATAATGAGGCGACGTTCAAGTCTTAGCCGCCGTCGAAAAATCGAGGTTGACCAGGCGGTTGGCCTTAGCAAGTTGACGTGCGGATTATCAACATTGTGGTTGAATGCCGCAGGCTGGAGAAGTCTGGTCGGTTTTCGCTGCCGGTGCCTCCGCGCGATCTGGGGGATCGCGCCAGCTTATATTTCAAGAGTGAGCAACGCAATTGTCTTGGACACGACCGGGCAATCCTTCTCGTCAGAGGCTGTAGTTCGGCAGCAGCTCCTCTTGATAGGTGCACACCTGTGATAGGTCAGGGCTGGTGCACAATGTGCTCCAGCGGCTCGCTCGTCTGAAGGGGTTTTCGGCTGCCAGTGGGCTGCTGGACCTCTCGAAATATTATGAATATATCTCGCATGAGGAGCTTAGGAGGGAAGCCATCAACACTGGTTTTCCGCTAGCCCTTCTTCGTAGCCTCTGCTCGGCGTATAGGTTTCCTCGGCGTGCGGTTTGGCAGGGAGCGGTTGCGCCTGCGGTGGAGGCCAAAGGGACTGTCGCTGCGGGGTGCAGCTGTGCGTTGGCGCTGGCGAAGCTGCTGGTGCACACGCTACTCGTGAAGTTGCAAGCCAGGTTCCCCGCGGTTCGATTTCAAAACCTCGTGGACGATTTTTTGCTCCAGGCGCTCGGCACTGCTGAGCAGGTTCTTTCCCAGTTTCCTGAGGCCATGATGGCTTTGGTCCGTGGGCTCTAGGAGAAACAGCTGCGGGTCAATTGGGATAAGACTGGCTATTTAACATCCTCTGCAGAGCTGGCCGTGCAGCTCAACGCTAAGTGGTCTCTCGGCGATGAGGATCGACTCATCGGGACCACGTGCTTGGGCACCGATGCTAATGACGGGTCGGCTCGGAGGGTGGGGGAGCAAGATAAACGAATCGCCAAGGCCAAGAGAGTCTCGGCGAGAGTTCAGCAGCTCAGAGCTGCAGGCGCTGCTGTCAGCACTATTCAGAAGGGGGTCTCCTACGGCGACGGCGGTGTGGGGGAGTGCGGTCACTGGTTTATCAGACCACAAGTTTCATGGGTTGAGAGTGTTGGCCCTTCGTGCTGAGGGCCGCCTCCCTGCAGGCACCTCGGTAGGCCTTCGATTGCGCGTGTCCCCCAGGGGCTCCTTCAGGGACCCTTGGGTTGTGCATGCAGTTGAAGTGGCGAAGCAATGGGCTCTTTCGGCCCTCTCTGAGCTGCCAGGGCGTGGCCCCATGCAGGGTTGCTGGGCGGCTGGTAAGGATCTCCTCGGCAAAGCCAAACCCTGGGCTCACTGTGTCGATCCCAGCCAGGGTGTGCTGCTTTGCGTGGCGCGCATTGGCATTGCGATGCCCACGGCCTTCTCTTTGGTCTTCCAGGGCCTCGAGTATTCCATGTTGGAATTCACGCCAGGATTTATAGCGGAGCGTGCGAAGGAAGCTGCGCTGGTTTCCTCTGACGCTCTTGCTCTGACTAGAATTGAAAAAGGGGTGGCGGGGGGCTCTGCACTGGGGGCCTCTCAATCACCTCCTCTCTCGCAGTGTCACGGACACCTGGACGCCGCATCATAAGGCGGCGCTGCGGAGCTTGGTGGGTGGATCCCACTGGCCACACGCGCGGCTTTCTAGCCATGGCAAGGCCCAGCATGGTCGATGCTTGATCTGTGGAGGACAGGGCACGCTGTTTCATCGGTTTTACGAGTGCCCGCGCATCGAGGCACACAGGCGTGATTAATGCCCGCCACACGTGCGGACAGCTGCCAGAAAAGTGAGCTCACTGGCGCCAGAGGTGGTGGACATGTTTGCTCGACGTTTGTTCCCGTCTCCAGCCCGTTGCTTTCCAATTCAGGAGGCCAATCTTGAGGACCAGCTGATCTGGATTGGGGCCCCCGAGGGCTGGAAGTTTTCGGGGGAAGTTTTTGTGGACGGCAGCGCGTTCAACACTCGGTTTTCTGGACTCTCTCGCGCTGGGTGGTCCATCGTCCAGATTAACGAGAGCGGGCGCCTGGTGGCAGGCGCCTTGGGAGTGGTTCCTCTCAGTTACGCGCCCAACCAAATGGCGCGAGATGGAGAGGATCGAGCCTTTCAGGTCTTGGCTGAATACTCTGAGTGGAATGCTGAAGATCCCCTCACTGTTTACTCAGACTGTGCGGGTTCGATTGAGCGCGCGGTGAATCCAGGCGCGGCGCTCGACCCCATGAATTCTAGAGGGCACTTTTGGGTCCGCTGGTGGGAGGGGATCGGCCACCAGGCGTCTGTTGTAAAGGTCAAGGCGCATCGCGCGCGCTCCTCGGCCACCAGCTTTGAAGATGATTGGCTGATCCTCGGCAATCAGATGGCGGACCGCCGGGCGAAAAAAGGTGCCTTGAGGTGGTCGGCCCCCCCCTCAGCAGTGCGCCTTTGCACGGGGGGTCGAGGCCCCGCGATGTCTCGAGATGGCATGCGAGGGCCCAACAGTTGATGGTTGATGGGGGGGTTCGTCGACTCTGAGGGGGTTGTTGGGGCCTCGGATATCACATTCGAGCTCGGCCCTTTCGAGTGGGAGTGCTTGGCCAGTGCGGCTTGTGAGGAGGGGGTGGAGCCGTTTGCGGCGATCCCAGGCGTGGTTCCTGTCGGGGGAGCTGCGTCCTCGGCCTCCCTGCCGCCTCCTCCGCCGCCGACGCCCCCTCGTTCCGCCCCTTTTGCTGCAGCTGCGGGAGGCGAGGAGGGCCCTGATCTTCAGGAGTGTTCTGGGACGCCTTGGGCTCTCAATCGTCACTCGGTCGTCAAGGCGTCGGTCGCGCCCCTGGCTGAAGGGGCGGAGCCCGAACCAGATGTTTTATTTTGTAAAATCTGCGGGTCCTCGGCGCATGAGATTGCTCGGTCGGGCGAGGGGCTGGGCGGGGTGTGTCGTGGGAGGGAGGCCCCAGGACTGCGGACTCAGCGTTCCCTCCTCCGCCGAGGGCTCATGCCAGGGCGCTTGAAGGCGCGGATCGTGGACGTCCGCGCCCCCTCAGGCGTGGACATCGAGGCCTGGGCCACCCGCTTCCCCCCCCTCGCTGGAGGCGCGCGGGGGCAGGAGGCGGGGTGTGGGGGCGTTCAGTCGATGAGTGCTCCAGCGGCCTTTGAGATCAAGTATGGCACCAACGTGCCGCAGCTAGACGACAGGCAGGTCGCATTGTTGCACGGTTTTGATTCCCCCTCGGCCGTGGTGGACTTTTCCAGGTCCCTGGGAAGGGGGGGGCCCGAGTTTTATGAGGAGCCTGCCGAGTGGTAGGCCCTGCCCCATGTAGTCAGCACGCTCAGCGCACCTCCTCCCCCCCCTCCTCCCCGGGCCTTGCGTCCAGTCCGTGCCCCCCCGGCTTGCCCCGATGATTGTTTCGACGGTTGTCCCGAATTGCGGGGAGGCCGTCCCCCCCCCCCCCCCCCCCCAGCATCGGAATGACCGTCAAAACACGCGGGTGTCTGACGCCCTTGCGGCTCCACTGACTCCTTGCGCCCGTCGGCCTCCGAGCTCGAGGGTTTCTCCGAAGGGTTTGGGCGACTTGTCCTCCTCCTCATCCGGCTCCTCCTCCTCCTCCTTCCTCATCCTCCCCCTACATATTCTCCTCCCCCTCCTCCTCCACCTCCCACTCCTCTTCCTCCTCCTCCTCCTCGGGTCGCCTACCGCCCGGGGGGGGGCCGTCCACTCGTAGTTCGCACAACGCATGGATTAATGGCACCCGTGTGCTGGAGCAACATGTTCTTACATACGTATCCCGATGGTTGTCCCGATAGGCAAGCAGTGATACCGACAGTTAGATTGAGAGTTCTGCCCGATGGTCTATAGTGAGAGCACTAGTCAGTGGAACCGGGAGGTAGTGTCAGATGGATATATGGAATGGTTGTCCAGATTTTATCCCGATAGAGGGGTCGTCAGACTGGCATGCGCATCTATAGTTTGAACGTGATATCTGTGCGTAGGGCGTGAGACCGATCGATCGTGATACCGATGTGTATACATATATATATATATATATATCAATGTGCCCATGGATCGATTGTACGGTTGCTCCGACGGATGTCACGGATGTTGCTCCGATATCGAGACAGTGAAGTCGACCTGTATAATGAGACGATGGTATTGTATTGCTGCGTATGTGAATACATATGTACATTGACAGAATCGCACCTGGTTTATCCATATAGAAATATGGACGTAGGACGTGCTATAGGTATACGTGTGCAGATCAAGGTTGATGTTCCGATGTGTGTCCATTCGTGAGTTGAATTGTGCGTTCACTGCGGAGCAAAGATGATGCCAACCCCCCTTACCTCTCTATCCCCCACCCGCTGGTTCATGCGTTGTACACGTATGTATACACAGTTCAAAGTTTTACGAATGTGTGTCCATCATTTGCTGAACTGAATGCGGTCCACCAAGTGCCCCTTCCTCAAAATCCAAATTTGTCGAAGGCTCATGACACGAGTGGAGCTTCGACGGTTTTCCGAAGGCGCCCTGCAGCGATGTCTAAGCCGTATCGGGAAACAGCAGGGGCAGTTCGCTTCCTTTTCCGACGCGGGCTATTGGCATCTTGGGTAGGCGTTTTGCCGTTATGTTGTTCAGGCGTCTTGTGCGATTATCACGTCTGTAGATGATGGACCTACGACCGAAGGGTATGTAAGCTCTGTTGTTTTAGGCTCACCCTGTCTAAGTTGCGAACATGAGAGTTGCCGTTCTGGGGCTGGTAAGGGCGGTGCCAAGCGTACGTCAGCACTTGACGCGCCTCCGGAACAGGCTCTGTCACCCATCGTGCCGTCGGACATGCCACCGTACGCAACAGCAAGGGCGGCCTCATATTGAACGCCCCGACAACCTCCGTTGAAGGGGTAGTAAGGGTGGAGGAGACGGATACGGCGCGAGGCGTACGCGTGACATGTGGTCGCGGTGTTCACGGTGACGATCAATTCTGAGTCAAGCAGCTTGGCTAATTCCCGAACGCGTCGTTCAATACAGGCGAGCGAGAATGTAGTTATGATTTTTGTTGTATGGCATTCAAGGTCGTGCGCGCTCCCGAAAATATTTATAATTTTCGCTGTGCGGCATTTAAGCTCGTGCACATTCGCCAGTCCCTCTGTGCAACAGACCCTGGCACTCGTAGACTCCTGCGGCGCAATGTGTGTACATGGCGTCATTTCGGCTGGGCGTATGATTGGCCCCTGGCCAGATTGAACGTTCTTGCGCGGCTTGCAGAAGGCGCGGGGGGCGGGGGGAACCAGGGCACGCAGGCCGCTACTAACGCTCTCGCAGGCAACGATCGGCAAGTCCGCGCACCAACAGTCACTCTTGCCTAGGGCTCACCCCTGCGCGTGGCCGGTACTTAGGCGCTCGCAGACGATGCGAGTTGAGAGTGGATTGGATGGGAGACGCGAGGGTAGGTGATGTGAGGTGGTATGTCGGGCCCCTTGCTCCTGTCACACTCAGATGCGATGCAATCTTTGTTCGTGCGACTTTTGGGGTTTCCATGCTTCCCGCAGCCGCGAAGCAGCCCCACACTGCTGCCAGCACTTTAAATGAATTTTAGCGGCGATGCGCTTCGTCCAGATATCACCGCTTTCGTTCCAATGGCACGATGGTTGGCGAGCGATTCAGGTCGCGGCCTTGTGTGCCGTTTCTTACAGCCGGGGGACCAGGCGCCAAAAAGTCCGGACGCGTTGCTTCCCGCTTGTTTCTTGTCTCTGTGCGATGTGGCAAGCGATCTGCGCTGCGTCTTGTCCCAAGCCAAGGGTCGTGCAGAGTCTCCTTACTCCTAGAGGCCAGGATTGATTCGCATGGAGCTGCGTCCGAGATCTCGCGTCCAGAAACCTCTGCACATGTGACGGCCCAGGCCTTTTTGTGATAACCATGTGTTGTTGCTTCACGAGCTGGGCGTGAGGGATATCTCGTATCCATAGGTTGCGCCCTTTGGCTGCGCAATCTGGTGCGCCCACGGGTTGCGACCGGGGGCACGTGGGTTCTTCGTGGTCATAGGTGGCGCCAGTGGGTTGTGCTTGGGGGTGTGGAAGTTGCATAGCCATGGATGGGTTGCGATCGTGGTTGGCGCGATCGGTTGCTCCCATGGCCTGCGTCGGTGGGTGCGAGGATTTTGCGAGGCCAGAGGTTGTGCCCATGGGCTGCTCAATAGTTTACGCCCACTGGTTCCGCCTGGAGGGTGCGTGGGTTTCTCGTGGCCCTAGGCTGCGCCCGTGGGTTGCGCCACAGGTTTCGCCCATTGACTGCGTCTGGGGGTGCTCGAACTCTTGGCTCTGGGGTGCCGATGCTGATGCAATCAAAGATTATGCCACGTTGCTTGCATTGCATCAATTAAATGTTTGATGCTGTGCTTGTCCCCACCCACCCGTCTTGCTTCCCTGGTAAGGGAATTGTAGCAACATGGACTAGGACTGAAACAGACAGGGAAGTGACGCAACCGTCGAACCGAAGCTTGGTCGCGGTTGTCGGAGCGCCCGTTTGGACCAGGTTGCGGTCAGGGGTGCGGCAGCGACGGTCTGAATAGTTTAACCAATTGTTCTGTGTGTGTTTGTTGTTGTTTATGTGGTCGCCCCGTGGCATACGTCTTGTTATATATATGTATACATAAATACATATGTATACATACATATATATATATACATATATATATATATAGGTCTCGGGCCGTTTTGTCGTACCGTCGTCTCCAGATTGTACGAGGTGTATATGCGTGTGTCTTCAGGCTTCGTGAGGTAGCTATGTCCAGGCATATTGTGGCACAATCGATCCCAGGTGTTCCGTGGCATGTTTGTCTCAAGGCGTCATGTGATACATATTTTGTAGTCAGTCGGCTGTATCTCCAGACATCATATGGTATGCGTTTGTCCGGAAGTTTCGCTCGTAGGACTGGATGTTCAGTGTTTCTGCTGTTGGGTTCAAGTGTTTTGCAGTCTGTTACTGTTGGAGTGCTCCTTTGTGGGGATAGTCTGGTGCGGGGTGGCCTGCTGACCTGCATGACGACGACGACGACCACGAGGGCGACGCATCTTGGACGCCTTGGTGCTATGTGGGGGCCCTCTTAGACAAATTCTGAAGGCCCCTTGAAAGTCCCTGGGACTCTCTTGGTGCGCTCTTGGGACTCGGGGCCGTCTTGAAGGCCATCGATCAACAAAGGAGGCGGATTCAAATCTTGACGCTTTGCGTACCCACGCCGCTCAACCGGGATCGCGCCTAGTCTGTCCTCACCTCTGGTACTGGGGTCCTCCTAGTCTTTCCTCGCCTTTGGCCAGCGATCGCTCACTGGGATCGCGCCTAGTTTGTCGTCTCCTCTGGTACTAAGGCTGCAGCGGTTAGCTGCCACAACTGGTATGGCCACTGAAGCAGTATGGGGCAGCAATGGGAAAGCACACGTCTCGGCTCGTTTTCTGGCGCTGGGGCCGTACGGCCCAAGTGGACCGCGGCGGGACACCGCCACTGGACAGCCCATGCCGACGTTGGCTTGGGGACACAAGCAGACATGGGGATTCTTGTGCGAGCCTTGCCAGATGCACGTGTAGGATCAAGCTCACTTCTGTGGATATCATCGCAAGGAAATGGCCACTAAACAATGGAAGGGCGGCTGGCCAGATCCGAGTCAGTTTGACTCCCTTGAGAAACTGTGGACGCGCACCAACGGCACATGCATGGACAAGGTCACCGGAAAACGCATCACATGCCTCAAGTGGGATGGATGGGAGCCCGAGTGGAAGGCCGCGCCAGTCGACTGGGCGAAACGGGGACTACTGGGCCCATGGGTCCCGATGTGACGCGGCCAGGACATGCTTCTCCCACCAGACTGGGACCACGTTCCAGTCCTCTACCCCACGACCTACCATGAGTCCACGGCGTTGCCGCCGTTGGGAGTGACCGGGAACAAAGATGAAGTCCGCCCACCAAACAGTGCCTGGGCCCTTGCAGGAGCACCAGCGCACCCTCGAACATGGAACACCGGGACACCGAGTGAACCCAAAGTGTTGACCGCTGACGACATCGCTCGCGACGAGAAGGCAGCGCAAGCAATGGCACCACCAGGGCCCTCCGGTGGCGCCTCGCCAGTCGCTCCCCCTCAGGATTCGAAGAGGCCGCCTCGGTAGCTGGCACTGGCAGCTCAGGCGCCGCTGCGAGCACTGCTAGCCCTAGTGCTCACGGCGCACCTGGCACCGTGCCCAGCCGGCCAGTCTTCCGGACACAGGCCATTCAGGCCAATCAAGTGCGCCGTCCAATCCTTTCACCGCACCGGGCTTCACAAGCAAAGGGGGGCCGGACACCGTTGTTATCACGGGTCGTGGACGAGAAGCCGCTATTGAAATACAGGCGATCTACAGTTTCCGGTGGGGGCACGGAAGACAAGCGATCATTTTTTTCGATTCCCATCGGAAGGGTCCCCAGTGGAATCACTCTGCCCAACACCTGGCCAACTGACGCCAAGGAGCGCGTCATCAGACTTGTTCGGATGAGCCAAGTTGAAATTCGTGCCAACCTTGACCCAGACTATGACAGAACAACCAGGACTCGTAGGGACTTGAAAGCCAAGCGCTCCTGCGCCTTAGGCGCTAGCCTGGAACTGGCGGCACCAGCGAGTCGGCACTGGTTCATTCAGAGGCGCAAGCTGAAGGATTGGATCGAGGGGGGCGAAGGTACGGACTACTCAATTGGGACACAGTGCCAGCTGACAGCAGACCGCGGGGATGAAGGAGTACGAGCGGTGCAGCTGTCATACAAAGGACCCATCACCGACGACGTCGCCTGTCTCCGCGCGGTCTTCCCTCGCCCCCCCGGGCGGGCCATCCCAGAAGACATGCGGAGGTTCCATCCGCGCTGTCGCGTCTACCCAACCAACGGCTGCCTGGTCAAGCATGACAAGGTCGACGGGCCACTGCAGAGCACCTTTGCTGTAGCGACATTGCCAGAGATGACAGGGGCGCCTCGCTACCGCGTCGACATCGCGCCCAGTGCGATCCAGCGCGACGAGGTCAAAATCGCCCTTTCGAATATGTACCTCTCCAACGTGCACCGGGACGGTCAATGGGGGACCACGCTTCCTGCGTTGCCACGCGCGCTGGCCTTTGGGACTTTGGGACAGACGACAACGGGAAGAACCAGAAGTCCAACGACACCTGCGGGAACGCACTACGCGGACACTTTCTGCGCCTCCGAAGGCGCGCAACGCTGGGGGGCCCGCTGCTTGATCCTGACCAGTTTTGCGACTCGGGGAGCGGGCGGGACGCCTTGGAAACAATCGCGGACGCCGAAATAGACGAACACCCAGGCTCGGAGTGGCAGCGTGCCAGCGCGCCCGCTGAGGACACCATCAAAGCGTCCATTGCAGCGCATGACCTCATCGACGACCATGCGCCGGCACTCTGCTCACCCGTCAAACATCTCGTCGCGGCGGTACAAGGCCCACCTGGCACAGGGAAAACACGTTTCGCAGCCGCACTAGCAAGGCTCTGGGCGCATGTCGCGAGACTTGGTTCCACCGGTCTCGCCGTCGTTGGCCCCAACGCAGCAGCAGACCAAACAGCCGTCACCCTCGAAACGGCACACAAAGAGGGCCGCCTCGTCAACTTTCCGCAGTGCCCGAGCTGTGCTGCACGACTTGCAGAGGACGAACGCATCGCGCATCCTGACGCGCACAAGTTGTCATCCACCAGTCACTATCGACGCGCGTGGGACACCGAGCCCAACAGGTCCAGCAATAATAATGGCTGGCGGAAATCCAAAGAAGACCTCAGCAGCAAATTCAGCATTATCAGTGCGACCCGCGAAGTTTCCTGGAGGCTCGGCCAGCCCAACGCACCCAATGTGATCCTGGGTATCATCGACGAGGCTGGCCAGGTCAACGAGGTCTCTGCTGCCATCCCCATCGGCATCGTGGTCGACTGTGGCGCCTACATCGTGCTTGT